ATATATATATATATATATATATATATATATATATATATATATATGTATACATATGTATATATATATATATATATATATATATATATATATATATATATATATGCATATATATATATATATATATATATATATATATATATATATACATATATATATACATATGTATATATATATATATATATATATATATATATATATATATACATATATATATATATATATATATATATATATATATATATATATATATACATATATATATATATATATATATGAATGATGAAAACACTCTATCGTGTTGATAATATGGTAGAAAAACCCACAATGAAAAACTAGATTTATTGAAGATGAAACAACAGTTTCGGAATCCACCTGGATTCCACCGAAACTGTTGTCTCATCTTCAATAAATCTAGTTTTTACATTGTGGGTTTTTCTGCCATATACATATATATATATAGATATATATATATATATATATATATATATATATATATATATATATATATATATGTATGTATATGTAATGTATGTACATGTATACATATATATATATATATATATATATATATATATATATATATATATATATATATACATGGATATATATGTATATATATTATATATGTAAATATATGTATATCTTTCTATCTATATATTTCTATATCTACATCTATATTTACATCTTTCTATAATATATATATATATATATATATATATATATATATATATATATATATATATATATATATTTACATATATATATACACATATCTGTGTGTGTGTGTGTGTGTGTGTGTGTGTGTGCGTGCGTGTGCGTGCTTGTGTGTGTGTGTTTATGTATGGGTGTGTGTGTGTGTGCGTGCGTGCGTGTGTGTGCGTGTGTGTTTGTGTGTTTGTGTTTGTGTGTTTGTGTTTGTGTGTGTGTGTGTGTGTGTGCGTGTGTGTGCTTGTGTGTGGGTGTGTGTGGGTGTGTTTACATACATACACATAAATATAATATATATATATATATATATATATATATATATATATATATATATATATATCAGTATTTTTCCATATACTTATCTATTTTTCTATTATTCCTCAGTAACAATATGTGAGTTTCATATTGCAATCAGACTTTTGATTTGTGGTATTTGGTAGACCTATCAAGCACTGGAAAAAACACGCTCCTATACTTTTTATCTGTTTTTTCTAATCGAGAGAACGAGATTTTTTTTTTTTTTTTTTTTTTTTTTTTTTTTTTTTTTTTTTTTTACTCAGCAACGAAGTAATGTAATTCTTCGTTTGCAGACATCATCTACAGGCAAACTTTGGAAGTAGACGGAATAAAAGTTGATCTTGAAATTATCGACATTTCTTCAAGACCGGTGAGTCTTTCCTCTTGCGTCAAATATTGTGTATCATAATTTTTAGCCATGTTTTCTATCTACGCATGCACGCAGATATATACAAGGTCTAAAGGAATACCTCTCTAGACCTCGGACATACATGCGAGGTACGCGCGGTCATAGAAATAACCCATAGAGAGACATTGAAAGAGACGAATATTACCACAGAAAGAAAGTAGATCTGACAAAAAGTGTCAAGAATATTATCGAATTCTCACACAACAATCCTCTCTCTGCAGGGAAACGACACACTTCCGACCCTCGAGATCTGCCAGTGTGACTGCTACCTTGTCGTCTACAGCGTGGCAGACCGACGGACATTTGTCACAGCCAATCAGCTGCTCCACGCCATATTCAAGCTCCGGCCAAACATGCCATTTCCAACTATAACTCTCTTGGGGAATAAGCAAGATTTAGAACATTCAAGACAAGTGGGTGATGCATACAAATTTTCTAACACCCATCCACAGACATATACATATATATATATATATATATATATATATATATATATATATATATATATATATATATATATGCATATATATATATATATATATATATATATATATATATATATATATATATATTATATATGTCTGTATATATATATATATATATATATATATATATATATATATATATGCATATATGTATATATACATATATATATATATATATATATATATATATATATATATATATATATATATGCATATATGTATATATATATACATATATGCATATATATATATATATATATACATACATACATATATATATATATATATATATATATATATATATATATATATATGCATATATGTATATATATACATATATGCATATATATATATACATACATACATACATACATATATATGTATATATATATATATATATATATATATATATATATATATATATACATATATACATATCAGGACTATTACCAAGCCCTTCCAAAACTGTCAAAAAGTGTCAAGATCCAGGCCTTAACAATCTTTGCAGTGTGGCAGGGAGCATTGTCTTGCTGGAATAATGTTTCACAGTCCTCAAAATAGTGTATTAGAGATGGAACTGCAAGTACTTTTAAGATTCTAA